AGCCACCTTCTTACAGCCCTTTTCTTTTATACCTATATTAAAAAAATACTAAGTAACTATTATACTAATAATAGAATAAGAAATATCCTTTTTACTTTATTATATTTCTTTACAAGTTCGCACATTATGGCCTGTCTTGCTGCACTTGCTACAACGCGTAGCCTTTGTACGAGACCCTCCTCGCTGCTTTTCTTGCTCTATCTGCGTATTTATATCCCTTTGATCTAATTGACCTATCCCTTCTTCAATAGTAAGAGCGCCTCCAAGTCGTATACGTGCTTTCTTTGCTTTGCGGCGCTTGCTTATGGCCTCATTTGCTGCACGAAGGTCTTGGACCTCTGTACGTAAAAGCGCTACTTGATGTATCATTGCTGTTGCTCCCTTTGTAAATTGGTCAATTGCATTCAACATTGTAGTTGGAGAGCTATTTTGGTGAGCGGTGATACAATTCTTTATATGCTCTGATTGTGAATTAGCCTCATGTGCGTTTTTTGGTGTTTTTGAGACCCAAGGCCGTATAGGCCTAATCAGCGTTTCTGGAGGTGTTGATGTTCGTAATTCTATATGAAGCTTTGAAAGAACACTCTGTGGATTAAATGGCAATAGACCAGATCCTAAAAAGCCTCCTTTAATGTTCTTCTCATTGATTGCAGTAAAGAACGCCATGCGAAAGGCATAGAGGAAGTCGAGCTTGCTAATATGTGTGATATGCATACGCATTAGCTTCTTAATTTGCCGACTATATGCTTGCTTTAATGGCCCAAAACAACTAACATCTAATGGTTGAAGCAGATGTGAGGAATAAGGAGGCATATAGACTGTAATAATCTTATGCTCCTTATAATAGAGCTCAAATGCCGTTGAGTGGTGGCTCTTATGGCTATCAAGGATAAGCATTCGATAGATCCCTTTCGTACGAGAAGCTGTATGACGATCAAAATGCTTGATCCAATCTAAGCCAACCTTATTGGTAGTCTAGCCATTCTCTGTTGTTGCAATGCGCCAATCTGCTGGAAGATCACACTCTCCATACCAATTCTCAAGATGGTATTGTGCAGTAAGAATAATGAGTGGTGGTATTGCCCAACCCATTGCATTGATGCCTTGGATCATAGTTGCCTACTCCCGGTTACCAGGCTAGGATAATTTAGCCTTTGTAAGGCCTTCTGAAGTCGTAACGACCATGCCTGGAAAGATAATACCCATTATAAAGCCAGTCTCATCAAAGTTATAGAGATCATCATCAAGGACCCTATATTTAGCCTTTATATTCTGTACAAGAGCAAACCAATTGCTAATAAGCTTTGGATCTTTATATTTAGCTCTTTGATAGTCGTATTTGTGAGCCTAGCGTGTACGGAGCTTTGGCTGGCGTTTGATAAAGTTTGATGCCTAATTTTTGCCAACTAATGGCGCGTCGCGTACGCGTAGTAGATGATTGGCCATTTCTTCAACACTAAGCAATCTGGGTGGAAATGATCGCGCAGATAGATCAATTATATGCTCAATTATGGCCTCTTCTTCTGATTTTGTAAGATTCATTGAATTGGCAATTGTATTACATCGCGAAGATATACTAGCACGACGCCGAAGAATTGTCGTACGACTGATGTTATAAATCTTAGCTGTAGCTCTAAGACTTAAATTCGGGTCTTGTTTAAGAGCTTAAAGGGCAAGCAGTACCCTACTTTCATTTGAAGGTTCTGCTATAAGAGATTATGGAGGAATTTAATATATAGATGCAAAGGTAGATATTGTTATGGAGGGTGGTCCGCTCGCTTATGTGGTCCGCTCGCTTGTGGATTACGTTACTTCTCTATTATAGTATGAAAAAATTTACTTTAACCTTTTATAATATTTTTTTAATACTCTTTTTAAAATTTTTTATAAATCACTTAATTATTTATTTTAAATGTAAAAATCTATGAAAGTTTTAAGTTCTTAAATATTTTTAATTCTAACCTTTTTATTATTATTACTTATAAAGTTATTAATATTATAATTAACTCTTAGTTATATATCTTTAAAACAAGTATTTCTTTTCTATAACTATTTTATACAAATAATTTTCTTTTTATAAAGGTTTTAATGTTATTACCTTTTATTATTAATAGTTTTAAATACTTTCTTACGTTCTTTAATAAGTTTATTAAAGCTTTTAAAGATTTATTTTATTTTTTTACTCTTTTAATTATTATAATTCTTTTTTATTATGAATCTAAACTACTTTTTAATAAATCTTTTTATATAAGTATATATATAAATTACTCTTATATATGTTTTTCTTTACAATATTAACGATAATATTAAAATAAACTAGTTAATACCCTATTGATTAGGTCTTTAATAATAAAAAACTATAAGTCTATTGTTTTTATTATTTTCTAGGCTATTCTAGGCTATTCTAATAGGTTATAATAACAAACAATAGTTCTATTATTTCTATTGTTCTATAGGCAATTCTAGCCTATTCTTTTACTTTATATTCCTTACTTATTTTACCTATATATAGTAAATAGATTCCTGTCTTCTAGTTAGTTTTTAAATTAAATACATCTTATCTTAACTTATCTTTTTCTCTTTTAGCCTTAGTGGCTAATTAATCCCACAAGCCTAACCTTATTAGGAATTAGCTCGTTAAGATACTTATTCTCCCTGGGCTTTTAAAAGGACTAACTAAGCCTTTTAGATTAAGCTAAATAGCTTATATAAGCTATTACTAAGCTTTTTACTTATTGCTATAAGGAACACTGTATGCCTAAGAGGCTACTTCTGTTTAATAAATATTAATAGCAAAGTAAAACAATATTAGAAAATAAAATTAAAGTATTATAATTCAAGTATTAAATCTTAATAATAAATAATTATATTAATAACTAATTAACTATATAAAAGAAATATTAATTAGTATATATAGTAATTAAGTTTATTATAATATATATTTTTATTATAATTAACTATACATTAAAAACACAATTATTAAATACTATATATATTATTAAACTTTAAAATAAACAATTTGTTAAAAGGAAGTAGCCTCTCAGGCATAAAATTCCTTATAGCAATAAGTAACAAGCTTAGTAATAGCTTATATAAGCTATTATAGCTTGATCTAGAAGGCTTGGTCAGTCCTTCTAGAAGCTCAGGGAAGAATAAGTATCTTAACGAGCTAATTCCCAATAAGGTTAGGCTTGTGGGATTAGTTAGCTACTAAGGCTAAAAGAGGAAAAGATAGGTTAAGATAAGATGTTGTATTTGATCTACTAACTAACTAGAAGACAGGAATCTATCTACTATATATAGGAAATATAAGTGGGGCATAGAAAGTAAAAGAATAAGCTAGAACAGCCTATAAAACAATAGAAACAATAGGATTATTGTTTATTGTTAGAACCTACTAGAATAGGCTAGAATAGGCTAGGAAACAATAGAAACAATAGTCTTATTGTTTCTTATTGTTAGGACCTAATTAATAGGGCATTGACTAGTTCATTTTAACACAATTATATTATAATTAATTATAATTAAAAAAAGTTTTATAATTTTAAACTTTTATTAGCTAAAATATTATTATCGGAGAATAGTAACTTAGACGATTAGGTAGAAAGCTCATAAGGTCAAGTAGGGTTAATTGTATTGCAAGACTTAAGCTTAGCGAGTCTAAGAGTTATGCGCCGCGATCCGCGAACGCAAGCCCATCGAGACCCTAGCGTCACGTGAGGTGCACACACCTAACGCTCCGTCTAATAATCCTGTTATAAATATTAATAATATTTAAAGTAAAGGAACTAATGCCTTACTATTTAAAATTAACTAACTACTAAAATAATAATAATAATAATAATAATAATAATAATAATAATAATAATAATATTATTATTATTATATTATTTTTTAAATTTAATTTTAGTATGTAATAAATATTAAACCTTAAACACTTTTATAGACAACTAAATAATATACATTCAAGTACTATAAAATATCAACTTTTTTATTCTAACTAGAGTTATTTAATTCTATAATTCCTTTACTGTGCATTAGGATTACGTATTACAACAACTCCCATGCATTTTAGCGATCGAGTAAGATAGTCATTGACTCTCCCTGACGTTGCCGTTTGGCTGGTGGCTGTGACCTCTGTATCTCGCATTCCAAGTCTTTCTCCCCTCTATCCGCCGGCCTGGTCGAGCGCTTTTGCACAAACTGGCCGTCTGTACGTTCCAAGAAGCCATGCCAGAGCCTGCTAATTCCCTGGAAGTTGGATATCATTTCCGGTTGTAGTTGGCCCGGGCAGTAAACGTTGACCGCGTAGTGGTTACGCGCCACGAGACTACCAAGCGTTGCCTGTAGATCCCATACGTAACCGCCCCGTTTTTGTTTGTGCGTCTTGCCTGTTCGGGGATCAATGTACTCGTCATTCTTCTCGTTGTCGTCGTTGCCGTCGTCGTTGCCGTCGCCGTCGCCGGCTGCCTCGGCCCCTTCAAGCTCGAGTTGCTGGATTACTAGCCCCTTGATGCGACGCCCAAACTTGATGGCCATTTGCTGGTAGTTTGATAGGTTGAGATTGATCCCAAGATGTGTGCTAGTAAGCAGACCAAGCTGCTTGCTGAGCCGCTCTGTGTTCCAGATGCCCTTTTCGGCCGTTTTCCAGACCCACGGCCCAATCGTATCGGACGGTCCGTCGATCCCGGACAGCTTATGCAATACCTTCTCGAACGGTAGTAACCAGGCAATGTACGCGACCATCATAAGACTCAAGTGCTCTGGCAGGAATCGTGCTACTACACGCCCCCTCCCGTTAATGCCCCTGCTCTTATCGCGGTCCGTGACCAGCATCATCTGCCCATCGAAAATGAACATGTTCTTCTGCAGCTCCTCCGTGTCGCAGTGCTTGATCGTCGTCATCTCCGGTCCGCGCCCGGGCTGCCCCGCCCAGATGTGTACGGCAGCTATCGACCTGCTCTTGAACTGTTCTAGGTCTGAGATGTACTCCTCCACCTGCCGCCGCCGGCATTCGTACCGGATCTGGCCGTTCCTGCCCTTGGCCTTTTCCCAGAGCGCCTTGCCGACCAGCTCCATCATCCGTCCGGCTCCCGGCCTAAGCCATGCGTTCTTGCGGTTCGTAGAGAATGACCGGCCTGGCCCCTCGTAGACCAAGCTATCGATAATGTCCCCGAGCCGGATCGTCCTCTTGACCTGGTCCCACTGGCCGAGCATAAGCTTGTCCATCGAAGCCTCGGTGTCTTTGATGGCTGCCTGTGCCGTTTTCTGAAAGCCACCTACCTGGATCCGGCTCCCCTGATAATTAAGCGTTTTGCCATCGCTCTCCCATGCGAGTTGTGCCAGCCCATTTCCCTGTATTTGGTAACCCCTCCCGTATGCCATCCACTGGATGATGGAGCTGAATGGAGTGTATGAGCCGTCCGCAAGCCATTGCCGGTGACCCTCCTGAAACCGGGCAATAGCGTTGAAGCTGGCCTCGTAATTTGGGTCCCCACCGTCGTCGTTGTCATCGTCGTCATCTGATCCGTCCAGATCGGGCCTTGCATCCTCGAAGAAATGCTCTAGCATCAAGACTCTTCCACACCACAAGAAACCGGCGAGAAAGCGCATGTGTAAGGATGACGGTACCCATGACTCGCCTGTCTGGTCAATGCCGAGAACGGCTGTAAAGTGTAGGAGCGGGTTGCGATATGGCTTCTTGCCCAGCTTCTGTTTGATCGAGCTGATGCAGAATTGGAAGACGGCGCGATCGAGCGTATCGCTCTCCGGGTTCTTGCCATCGCTATCCTCCACCCACTCCTCTCCATCGGGGGTAATGGCCACGAGTGCATCGAGCCGTTGTATGACATCACCCAGACACCCCCATTGCGAAGCCGTAAACCTGATGCCGTGCTCCGCCTCGGCCCCGGAACGTCCCAGCGGCCATACACGCGCGCAGTAACACAAGTACCGTTGCACGTATGGGCTATACCGATCCATCATCGTCGCCGCCTCTTGTTTTCTGCCGAATGGCCGACTTGCCGGCTTTGCTGCATCCATGCTGATTAGCCATCTTAGTGTTTCTTCCGGTACCTGGTCGAGCCGATCCATAGACCTGACTAGAACCCGATCGACGCTTGTTGCCAGCTGCCGCAGGCGTCGGTTCGCCTTGATAGCCTCCTCGCTCCGCCGTCGCTCCTCCGCTGCATGGACCATGGGAGGTAAGCTAGCGCGATGAAGTGCCGCCCGATCCTTCTGTTGCAGGTGTTCTGCCCACTCCATGAACTTGACCCATCTGAACTCGGCATTGACCCCGTCGGGCGTCTCGATGAGCCGTTGCCTCTCCTCTTCCGCTCTGAGAAGCTCCTTCTCGCAAGCCTCGACCATTTTTACCAGCTTCTCAGTCTCATCTTGATCCTCATCCCGACCTTCGCCATCCTGGCTATCCTGGCTATCCACGCCATCTTCCTCCTCGCTTCTGGCAAAGTAGGCATTGGAATCCCCTGTTACATCAACGATCCAGTACCTTACGTGGCTTGCCCGCGTGAATGTCTGCAGTGTCACCCTGACCCATCCGGTCTGGCCAACATCTAAGCTGTGTTTTAACTGTCTTTGGTGTGTAAAGATGAGGTTTTTGTTAGTGGTGAGGTACGGGCACTCTGTGCAGCTATAGCCTTCGAGAACTGGAAGGTCGCTGATCGGTGGGCTGTGGTTGCTTGGCAGCTTGACTGTATGTGGATCATTCAAGGTGGCCCGATGCGAATGTGCAAACGTCGTGATCCCCTGTAGCACCTTGCCGGCAAGTTTATGCTGTTTTCGAAAGTGTGAATTGACGGCCGGGGCCGTGGGTCGAATAGCAGCTCGGCATATCTTACACAGCAGAAGCATGCTTGGCTCATAGAGCCCAATACGCTCTAGCGCCTGTGAAGATTCGCTCGATTGCTCCATGATAAATTTGAGAATCGTAAGATGGTGATGTATCAAGTCTGTGTAGTTTCTGCAATGGTGAGTAGGCAATCGCAATGAGACGCTATGCACTAATATTTAAATAGCAACCTAAAAACCACTCACAGCTGGAGCGCCACACTGCATCATCTGCCTGAACCGACCTGACATCTGTCTGTCTACGTTCCACGAGCAGATCTGCGAGTCCTGCCGCATCTTCTATTCCCTGTGCCACTGCCTCCTCTCCTCCTCGCCCGTTATTTTCCTGTTTGGCTTTTTCCTGTCCGTTGTTTATCCCCTTTACCCTTCTTTCTCGTTCCTGTCTTCCCGCCTTGCTTCCCTCGTCTGCTTATAAAAACAAACACTGTACATATCTCCCTTGCTTCATTACCCCTTATACCTGCTGCTGAAACAGCAATACAAGCCACAAATGCCATACGAATCACTCCCTCATCTCCGGTGGTAAATATATATGCAAACAGTGAGAGGGGGCTTATAAATGGTATTTTATTGCTAGTACTAAATCATAGACACACTGTATGTGTAAGAAATTATAAGACAACCCAATCATAT